ACATGTCGTCGAAGCCGAGTCTGTCCTCTTGAGATCTTGTGGGGCCTCGCGAAGGCACGTCCATCCCGACCGGGTTATCCATGCGCACCGCCCTACAACAAAAGGTGGCAGATCAGCCGATCCGCCGCCTCATTTCAGCTCACAGCTATGCCCTGGCAAAGTGCTACATGAAGGAGATGCAGCATTTTCAAGTCACGATCGTGAGCGGACTTGACTGGATCACAACACCCTCGGCAATCCAAATATTAAAAAAAAGGTGCCGCAGCCAAACTGCTGTCCAGTGCACCAAGGAAAGCCTTAACTCCAAGCTGTCAGTTCAGAAAAGCCATGATTATGAGGCGATCTAAAACGGAGAATAGTTCTAGGCTGGTCGTTGCTCAGACCTACTCCAGCAGACTGTGACGAAAGTCTGTTAAGGATCAAGACCATATGTATGGTATCTGCAATAAATACATGACTGAAGCCCGTCCGCTGGAATGCGGGTGCTCTCCCTGCCACGGCTGAGACAATGACCAGAACCGTCTGACACCTGTGGCTCCACTCTCATCAGTAACCTCGTAGCCCTTTGTCTGAAAGTATGCGCCACTGGCCACGCTGCGCTGAGAAACATCACTCCTTGCTGGCCAGCTTGAAGCAGCGATTGCTGAGATCAGCCATCTTCTTGATGAAGGCCGCTTTGTCAAAGCTAAAGCTGACAGGGTCAGCCGTGTCGATGCTCCCCATCTGCTGACACATCCAGTTGCAGACTTCATATGGGATCTGGTAGGAGCCGGCAAGTTTGTCTCTAGTCAAGAAGCCAGCACCGTCCAGGTCGAGCAAGTCAAAAGCTCTGTCCCAGAGCCTCCAAGAAGCCTCCGGGACCGGCAGCTTGAGGAAGGACTTGACTGTCGCTATTGGAGCCTTCTCGTAGGCAAAGAGAGCCTCTTTCTGAGCTAGGACTTCTTCTTCCCTGGTGAGTTGCAGGGCCAAGAACTCGCCGACAACGCTGTCCACGGCTGGGTTGCCTTCCTTCGGGCGGTATTCGCTGGGGCACATCGTGGCTATGAAATCATCTTTGGCCTGCGATGGCTTCCCAGATTTGCCATAATCCATGATCATCTCTTGGCGAATGGGTAAAGGCAACACTGGGCGAGCGACAAAGTGCGCATGATCTCGCACCAACTGACGAGTCCGATCAACCTGCCCTCGCAGTCCTTCGAGCTGGTCCAACTCCTGGCATGTGAGGAGGTACGGTTTACCTTTAGTCTCCATTGTACTTCCCTTTTTTTGTTATCTTATAGGATCCTAGGTATATACAGATATACGCATCTAAACTTGGTTAAACCGAAAAGAACTTCAATGGAGTCTATAGGCAAAGGGTGGTGTGTTTTGTTGCGTCCCACCGTGCTAGGACGAACCTACAGCGCAAATCGCATAACCGAACTTTCCTGTCCAGAGCAGTACGTATAATTCGTATTCGGATTCAGGGCTTAGGGCAGTTTCGGCTTTGATAGGAGCTCATATCATAGGAGCAATGCAAAGCGGCAAATCCAGGTCCTTGAGCCAGCTCTGAAACATTCGGAGATGCCGCGCGGAGGCACGAGGACTGATCTTCTTCAGGAAGGAAGCGAGGCTAAACTTCGCGCCATTCCTAGGATGGCCCCGTGAAGCCTCTGACGAATATAGTCTTCATAAGGACCTGTGTAAGCCCTACAAGGGAACGAGTAAAACATCCCAGTGGCTTGCCTAGATTCTGCCAGAGTGTTTCCATATCTTCCAGCGCTGGCCATAGCTTCGCGATCCAGAACTCTGCATCTATCGTCGTGTCCAAGACCTGCTCCGCTTCGGCATGGGAGATGTCGAAGTGGCGGGACGATGCGCAATAGCGAAAGAGATCTCGGACAACTCTGATTTGACTTCGACGTAGAAATCCAGAATCTAGCGAGGCGGCCGTCTCCATTGGCGGATTTACAGGGGCCGTATGGGACAAGCGAAACTTGCGCTCTTCGTTTTCGAAAATCTCTGGATCATCATCAAGGCCTCTTGCAGAAAATCGCTCCAGGAACAGTGCAAAAGGAACCGAGAGGGGATCTCCCCCCAGCCCCAGAAACCAGTTCTCAATCGCGGGAAGAGGTGCTGATCCAGCTTCCAACTTGGACCTCTGCTCCTCTGACTCTGCCTTGCTCAGCGCATCGTCTAAGATCCTTTGGAAAATCTGCTTTCCTGGGTTCGAATGCAAAAAAAGCCCCCACAAAAGGATAAAAAACACTGCTCTTTGAAAGCTTTCCCACAGCGCTGCTGGGTCTCCCAAGTTCTGCCTGCTTGAACACCCCGACAGGTTTGCGATGCCGAACATACATTCCACGCCATAGAGGAAGGAGGAGATCATGGCGGTGAACTCCGGCAGCTCAAAGGTTCGACTGTCGTTCTCGTCGAAGACACCGACGAGGAAGCGAATCTTTTGCTTCTTGGAGATAGTGCTGGACATGGCGATGGCCGCAGTCAGGAAGGCGGGGATTGATACTCTCACCTTCCGATACTCCGATGCTGCGCGAGTCTGTTGCAGCTTCATGTAGCCGGCTGGGTCGAAGGTTCTGATCCACTCCAGAACTTTGGGCCTGGGTAACTCGAGGTCGAATCAACAGCAACTCCGACTTCTGTGGACAACTAAGGTTCACGCATTGGCACGGCAAGCAGCTCTTGAAATTGGTATGCATCCATGACTACCGGGGCATGGCCGGGATTCCAGCCACCACAAGCCTGCCAGCGGTTGTACACCTCCACCCAGCTCTGCAGCGAGCGCAAGGAAATTGACCTGCAATCGGCTGTAGGCATGGTTGTCAGAATTCGTCCCCAGGAGTCTTGCAGCCAGTCCAGCTGCGGCTCCTGCAAGAAGCTGCAGCTCACACTCTGCTGCACGAACGCAGGAGCACTGCGCACACCCCTTCATGCAGCGTAAGCAGCTAAATTGACACACGGCAGGACTATGCTTTGAGTATCTGTGGCGCCTCTTCCCGGATTGCGCATGCCACTTCCTCCAGCGTGTCCGCCGCGAAGGACAGTCTCCTGCGAAGCTGATGTTGCCTTGCAGAAGACGCAGACCGGGTGGTGTCCACCTCCGCAGCGGTCCGCATAGATTTCTTGGAAGCTGCGGGCAAGCCAGTTTCCGCACTACTCACCGTGGCAGCCTTTCCCGGACGCTGGCCAGACATGCTGCCAGGCCTGCAGTGGGGGCTTTACAGTCGCCACAGAGTCACAGGGTTAATTGGAATTCTGGATACGTTCTATTAAATTAATCAGATGGCCTCCGGCTCTCTTGCCTCCAACCCGGACTCCGTGTGCCGCTTGCCATGCTGCTTGCTGGTCTTGGCCTCTGCGCTGACCTTGACTGCGAGCAGCATGACTCCGGTCTCGCCTTGGATTCGGTGGTCGCGGTGAGATCTTCACCCACCAGCGGCAGGTCTTGCAAGCCATCCTCTGTAACTGCTTCATGCTTGCAGGCCATGTCGGCTTTCCCGGTCGTGGCGTTCAGGCCATCAAGAATCGTCTTTGTCCTCATGGCCCTGGGTGCCCTGGGTGTGTTTGGCAGCGACATAAGTGCAGAAATCTTGCTCGAGACATCCGCCTTGGTATAATGGCGCCCTCGGAAGCCAGGACGCGCCAGCGCCAGGGGCATGGCCGAAATTGCGAAAGCACCGCCCACTTGGGCTTTGGCTTGCTAGACTCCTAGACGTGATAAATGCGACACTGAAGTCTCCGATCAGCCGCACGACTGCCACACCTCCTCCACCACATGTGCCACAGCTGCGGGGGTTGCATGATACTAGAAGAATCGCAAAATGCACCGGCAAGCAATGACTGAGTCGTGCCTCTCTCCCGGTGAATTACCATACACCACAAGGCAGACAGAGTCCCTGGCCACGCCCTGCCTCGACTTCGGGTAGGGGGCTCTGCTATGGCGCCTGGACAAGCACTTGCCGCCTAGCAAACCTCAAGCTGCTTTGCTGGCGGCCCCCGGTTCCCTCGGCAGCGTGCCGGCGGCGTGCTTTTTCTCATTGTCAGATTCCGGTGCGCAGGCAAAAAAAGTCATCGAGCTCCTGATGTCACCTCGGGCCGGGCCACATGCCTGATTGTGGGAAGGGCTGTGACTGGCAAGCATCTGCCTGGAAGACCAATCGCAACTGCCTCTTGGCATTGCGAAAGTGAAGAGCTCGAATCAGTAAAATGTCTGTAGTCGGACTGGTTCTGGCTTGGACACTCCATCCTATCGGAGAGAAAACTGAACAGAGTCGGCAGACCGATTAACGGGGTGCCTTCCTGCTCACTGCTAGCCACCATCGTCTGGCACGGCTGGAGCCGGCCAGACTTTGCATATCGAGGAGCTGGTTTCGATGTTTCTGGATGAGATTCGAAACTAGGCCCACAGATCTCACAGACCGGAACGGCCGAGAGTTACTAAAACATCAAAACCGAAGCCCTGCCTCCGCAGGTGCCTTGCCCGCATGCGGGTGCGGTACCATGTCAGAGGCCTCCTCGAGCTTTATAAGAATGATTCAAAGAGTCGCGAGCAACTAAAAATGATAGCTGCTCGTTCGACTCGCTGCAACTGTGTTCGCCAGCTTCCTGAAGATTCTGCTGTGAGCAGACTTGCCAAGTGCGAGGCCAGTAGAATAATATGCATCTCATCACCACGTACATATTGTATGGGTACTGCCCCGACCCATTAACAGTTTTAAGCCAGCGGTACAACTGGAGCCCTGCATACCTGTAACATGATTATCACCAAGCTGTAAATGAGTAGGGGCAGTGTCCAAATTGTTTAGAAGCTGTAGCGCACAGCGAAAGCAAAAAGAACATCTATTCGGCGAAAATCGAGCTGATGGCTCGAACTACATGACATAGACAACAAAACTTTTCCCCGTTCTAAGATTCATCTTTGTTGCAGCCTTTTCAACTGGACTTGTTCATGTCAGCACCCCACTTTTCAGTTTCCCTAAACCCTGAGCCCAGTATTTCAAGTTTCAGTGGCTGCAAAGCCTGCACTGCTTCAGCGTCGCCTTGCGTGGTCGGCAGTTGCCGACGTCAATCATTTTCTGCAGGAACTCCTCTTTAGAGAACCCATCACGAGGGCCACCTAAGCCAGTTCCACCGATGTTCCTGCACATGTAGTCGCACACCTCAATGGGCAGGAGCTGGGAACCAGCCAACTTCGCAAACGTAAGACTCCAAGTGCCATCAACATCAAGAAGATCGAATACCCGTATCCATAAATTCCAGGCTGTGTCAGACACCGGCGGCTTGAGAAAAGACATTCTGGTGGTAACGAGGCTCTGCTCTTCAACAAACATGGCTTCCTTCTCTGCTAGGGCCTTTTCCTGCTGTGCTAGCTGCATCGTCAGGAAATCACCAACGACCTGTTCCACTTCCTGGTTCCCCTGCTTCGGGCGGTAGTCCTTGGGGCATACGGCCATGACAAAGTCATCAAGGCCCATCTGCCCGGACTGGAAAAGCCGCTTTCGCACCGGGGAAGACTCTGCCGCCTGCCTCATCTGAAAGCTGTCATACTCTTCCAGCAAGCTTTTTCGAACCGCAGCTGGCAGCACAGGCCGAGAAACATACGCCGTGAACTGCTTGAGCACGGCGCGGCTCTCCTCGAGCTCACGCTGCAATCGCACGAGCTGATCTAGTTCCTTCAGCCATGCCTGATACATGCGCAAAGGTCGGACAGAGGTACCTGAGCAAAGTCTTTTTGCAAAGGCTGCCATGCTGACACCGGCAGCGTCATGAGCTGCGGCAGTCTCATCCAAAGCGCGAGATAGCCTCTGACTCCAGAACGTTGAATCAATTGGCCCCACAGCTTGCTCGGCTTCAGCATGGGAGATTGTCCAGCGGCCAGCTGAGCGACAGTGATTGAATACACTGTGTGTAATTTTGATCTGACTGCGGCTCAGACAAGCGATGTCCTGCATGGGATCTACCTCCATCGGCGGCTCGACTGGGGCCGTGTGCGACAAGTGCAGTTGCTTGCACTGCGGGTGCAACATCTGCGCACCCACTGCACTTTCGGAGAAGCGTTCAAGCAGCATGGCAAACGGAGCAGACAATGGATCTCCACAATCGCCCAGAAACCAGTCCTCGATGATTGCAAAGGGAGCACTACCGTTAACAAGCATGGACTTGGCCTCCCAGAATGACATCCTGGTGCTGGCGGAAGCCATGATCCTGAGGAACAGTGTCTTCCCCAGCTGTTGCTTGGCAGCACCCTTCGGCATGTCGGGATGCTCTGATAACCCAAAAAGGCATGCAGCTCCCTGGAGAAGGGATGACAGCATGTCGACGAACTCCGTTATCTCGAGGGTACCGTTGTCGTTCTCATCGAACATGCCTAGCAGAAATCGAATCTTCTGCTGCTTGGGAATACTGGAGAGGAAAATGGCAGCTGCAAAGAAGGCGGACACCGGCACCCGGACACGGCGATAGTCCAATGTGCATTTGCTGTGCTGGAGCTTCACATAAGCGACGGGGTCAAAGAGACGCACCAATTCCATCGTCCTGGGCCTCGGCCGCAGGTGAGTTTGAGGGGTCAAAGAAAGTTTCACTAAGACCTCGAGGCCTGAGATTCACGATTTCAAGAGGTTTTGCAAAGTTTCAACTTGGACTCTTGACATGTCAGAGAACGAGCTCCAAGACTGTCGTTCGTAGTTTGCTCTTGAAGTCGACCTCGACCAGGGTTTGGAGGTTACGATAGAGCTTGAGACATTGCCAGGTTGGCTGCAGAAGAAACTCCGAAATTGAGACTCTTGAAGCTCTCAGTCTCAGAATACTCGAAACTTGCAAAACGCGAAATTGCTTAATGCCCATACTCTCGAATGTGAGGACGTCGTTCGTGAATACCCGTTGTTCGATGCTTCCGTCCTTTGCCCCCTGGAGGCGACTGAGCCCGGAGCAGTGGCAAGCCAAGTAGCTCCTGAAACTGGTATGTATCCATAGCTGCTGGCGCATGCCCTGGCTTCCAATCGCCCTGAGCTTGCCAGCGATTGTACATGTCGACCCAAGCCGGCAGGGACCGTCGCAGCAGGTTCTTGCACTCCGCTGGCGGGGCGCTGCCAGCCAGCACCTAAGGGACTCCGAAGGTTAGGGCGTAAGTAATTTGACATACCTTCCTAAGGAATCCGCTTTCAAAAGTACCCTTCTTACTAAAGCTGTTTCGGGCCCCACCTGGCCCCAGAAGCCTTCCAGCCAGTCCAAGCCAGGCTCCTCCTCCCGGATTGCAGCGCCGACATCCGCCAGACTCTCGACTGCATAGGAGAGCCGCCTATCAAGCAATCGGCTGCTCCCCTGCATTTCTTTGCCCGGAGTGGTGTCCGCACCATCCGGAAAAGAGCCGGCGTCTTGGGAGATCGGCTCCAATATCCGGGACAAGTCCTGCAGAGTTGAAGCCTTTTGAACTTTTCCCTTTGACAAACCGGGACGTGATGGCACTGAAGCCACTGGCTTCACTGCTCTGGTGACCTCGACAATCTCTGCATCCTTGCCATCGATGTCATCTGCCAGAACACTCTCCAGGAAACTTGGCTCCACGTCGTCTCCTGTTGCAACCCGACCAGGCAAACTACTCCTCTTCTCTTTGCTTGGTGGAGATGGGGCTTCCCCACCCACCTGTAAATTTCTGCTATAGCTCCGGCCCTTGTAAGCCGGACGTCCCCTGACAGCCATGACGAGAACCCCTTTGGGGGGACAGACTCAGGAACACAAGAGCTGTGATCCTCGAGCCGAGCAGCGAATGAGCCGGCAACTGAGGCAATGTACTCCAAATCATGAGAGGAACCATGTGCCAATATAACATAACAGGCATAAACATAGCATGGCATAATAGGACGCAAATTGCAACATGTAATCCTGGAGGGCGGGCCTGCACCTCGGCCGCCACGAAGGAAATGCCGAAAAAACAGAGAGCTCAGAGCGGCGGGCCATGAATGAAGCACCGGCCCTCCATGGAAAAAGCGAGATGTGCATAAGAAAAAGACGCCTGAAGGACTTCTGTCAAAATTAAGGCGGCCAGAATCCGAAGGTCAAGGCTTCATCAAAAGTCGAAGCTGAGGGCCGTATCAACACCTTGTCTACTGCCGTTCGGGTTCGTGCGGCGTCGGGCTTTTTCATGATAGCGCTGAGAGACTCCCGTGCCGGCACAAACTTGGCATACTTTGACATTGGAGGACGCAAACATCGCAGCAATCCTTTATCTTGCTCTCTGCGTTTTTACCTTTGGAAGGTCCGGAGCTTTCTTTGAGACCACGGATCCCGTCAAATTCGACAGGCTCAGGGTCCTATGTACAGCACATTGAAAGTGCTGAATAAACTTCCCACGCGGCTCCATCTCCACACGTTACATTTGCGGGGCGGAGCCAGGAGAACGGTGAGACAGGCAACAGAGGGCATGGGCCTGAATTCCGCTTTGGATGTGGCAGGCTCATCGCAAGGCAAAGACCCTCAGCTCAAGATCAGGGTCCATCCTTTGCTAGTCTCGTCGGGGCCTGGTGTGCAAATGTGTTTGTGAACAGGTACTGCTCCGCTCTGCTCCGCCCGGCCTTCCTCATCTTCTGGCATGGAGGCTTTTTGCTCCTTGGCCTTCTGCTGTCGCTCGAGAAGCCTGACCCCAGAAAGTTACGGAATGCACTTCGAAAGCTGTGTGCAACGTCCCAAGTTTGCTTCGAACGCAGTTCCTGCACACATGCGGAGGAAAATGAGAATAATCGCTCAACACAAGCGCAAGCACACAATCTCCGCAGAAGCTCAAGCGATCGGCCGAATTCGAGGGTTGCCTCTGCAAGCTTGTTTGCTGCCCGAGCAGCACTGCCGTGCAAGGAGTTGAACGCAGTATCAAGGCACCAGTACCTGCGAAGTGCGCACGCACTGAGGCAACTCAGCTCAGGTTCCCTCTTTCCCCCCCTTAGTCCCCTCAACAGTGACTCCCCCCACAAAGAGCCCACCCACCACCCCCTTCCCTTTCTCGCTTTCTGCACTCTGAACCTGGGCCCTGAGCACCTGCGAGCGGGCCCAAACGGATGAAGCAGCATCGGACACAACAGTGGGATAAATGATATGAAACATCAAAAAAATGCTGCAGATAGCCAGGCTTTGGCGTATCGGGTTCTCCAAAATTGCTGCCTGAGACCTCGCTCGAACTTCGGAATCCCAGCACTGAAGAGTCACCATGTGGTTGGAGACGCTCCACCATGTCCTGGCACAGGATGCCAAAGTCGCATAGGATCCGACTCTGACCCTCAAAAACATCAAAGAAAATAGGTTCCCGTGCTCTGCTACCAGGCATCTGCATCGCTTATGGGGTTCTGCTCCAAATTCAGCGTCTTGATCACGGTATTCCGAGTCCAGATCCAAAAGGGCGTGCCTTCACAGGTCTCTGCAAAAGTCGGGCATGCCTGACCAATCATCACATCCTCTCACTGAACCCCGCAGATGAGTCTGCTATCTGCCTGAGTCGTCCTTAAACTCTTCGCAGGTGTCCAAGTGTGGTTCTGGCCAATAGCGCTCTCCTTGACTTCACCGCACTCACTGTACTGTGTCTGCATGATGGCCCTAAGTAACAGTAAAGCGGCTTGCCGGGCATGTTTGAAGGTGCAGTCAGATGCATGCACACCGTCCGCTGTGCTGCCAGGCCACGGCCGTTGGCATCCTTCGGCGGGGCCCCGAAAGCTTTTCGCTTCTTTTCCACCTCCTGGACTCCGACAACAGGTGGGCAAAACGTGCGCACCTCTTTCCTCAATGTCAGATTCGATTTTCAGATGGATCCGAGCCGGCACACGACAGGACTCAGATTCCAAGTGCACCATGAACGCCTGTAGGACCCTCTGAACCGTGCCGCCCAAACAGATGCCAAATTGAGCACACTCGCATTGCCCTCGGCAGTCCTTCTGCTGGTCCTTCACGGCACGGGATTTGGGTTGTGGCTCCAAGTGTGGGCACAAGCGTTTGCGAAAGTTTTGCGAGCTATGTGCTGCAACTTCAGCCTTTGCCTTGGAATATCTTCGACATGGAACTCAAACAAGCGTTATATGTATGTATATATACATGTAGTATTATATAACACAAAGCACATAACAGATGGCATATAGCATATAAATGCATATAACCTTTTTAAAAGCGGTGCGGCCAGGGGGTTTAG